GGTGGGGGGTCGATCTGTGGTGGGTGGATTGGGTCCGGACGGGGGGTTGGGTGGGTGGATTGATTGGGTTGGGGGTGCCGCTCCGAGGATGGAGACGGCTAGACCTAGACGAGTAGTAGTACTAGACGGGACGGGACGGGGTGGGTGCGCGTCTGTGTGGTGACCGGTAGGGGGTGGGTGGCCACGGGTATGTGCACCGACGCGTGGGCCACTGGGTTGCTCGTGAGTGACTAGGGAGAATCAGGGCCGGGCCGGGCTGGGCTCCGCAGAGCCGACCCCAAGATGAAAAGCCCGGGTGTAGTCAGGCCCGGCCTGACAACATAGATTAAAACAAAAAAATGGTGTTGCTAAAAAAAATGTTTTCCGTGATAAAATGATGAGGCACTCTACCTTTTTTATCTCTACTTTTAAGGAAGGGTTGGTAGTCTCGCCTCATTCCCATCAACCGTCGGCAAACCCTATATTACGCCCACGTGCATCATACAGGGACATTTAGTTGAAGCGCGGCCAAGTTGGGCCGGCCCATTTGACGTGTGCATTAACTCAATCAAATCGCACCTTCCCAAAACTATGTCATGCATTATAAATCATTCAAATCAAATCGTAACAAAATCTCAACTAAATCAATACTTTCCTACTACCCAATATCAAATCAATTCTTACCAAAAACATCAACTATAATCAAACTTGGCTGGCCTAACGCATCCACACGTTTTTTTGTACGTTTTGTTTTTTGGTTTCCTTTTTTCTATTTCATTTTTTATGACCAATCTATTATTTTGTGCTCAGCATACTGTCAGAATTGATAATGTACCAAAACAAAATCCAATCAAATTGGCACTTTCCAAAACAACGTCGTACATTAACTCAATCAAATCAAAACAAAATCTCAACTAAAACCAAATATTCCTTCCCTTCCACTACTCATTCCCAAAACAAAGCAAATCTTACCAAAACATTAACAATAATCAAATTAAGTCGGCCCATTTGATGCGTGCGTGCGTTTTCCCCCTTTTTTCTATGTTTCATTTTCTGGCTTCGTTTTTACCTATTGATTTTTTTCTATGACTAACCTATTATCTTGTGTTCGACATACTATCAGAATTGACACAAACCTATACACCATGGTGAGTTTGGTAGCATCGCCTTTATTCCGGTTAAACCTTCCCCACCGACTTTTTTTCATCCCACCAATTAATTTAAACCGTTTTAAGCCACTGATCTAATTAATCCGGTTTTTATCTGCCCAATCTGCACAAACCATGCAGATCGATTTTTAGTATATTTAGTAATGTTGTTATGTAAAGGAATCAATCATGGTGATCTCTAATCAATCTTTACAAACCAAATCTATGGAAAGGAATCAATGCTTGATAACACAAGGCAACATTTATAAAAGGAATCAACCATATGTCTATAATCACTCTCTTTTTTATTATTATAGAACAATTTATTATTAAATGACAATCCGTAGTAGCCCTCGTTGGTACCCACAGACACCCACCGATCGAAGGGATACCCTACAAATTTTTTTATTGTTCCCCTCCCACTGGTTTAGTGAATCTTTTCCCTGATTCAGCCTGCACTGCACGAGCCTTTCCTCTCTCTCTCTCTCTCTCTCTCTCTCTCTCTCTCTCTCTCTCCTTAGTGGTCGATTCCCCTTCGTGTAAGGATCTTCCTACAGAATGAGGTTGCGCCCTCATCGCTCAACTCCTCCTCTCCCCTTGACTAGGGTCTCTATATCTAGCTGCCTGCACCATAATGCACACCTAACTATGGATGCACCCATCTTACGCCATGGTGAGCGACCCCGACCCCCAACAACGACATGTGCCCGCTCTACCGCGTCTCAAGGGCCAGGTGGTAAGGAGGATGTGGATGAGTTGTGGCATCATGCTCTCCACCAAAGATTTAAAGCCGTCTGACCTACAACACCCGCTCAATGCGGCTCATCCACACTCGGTCCTTCTATTGTTGATGTGTCGCAGGAGCCTCCGTGGAGGCGGCGACCAACAAATATGAAACTTGATGTATGATGATAATGGAATTGTTGTCGATTAGACCTCTTTTGTGTTTCTTGGAATTAAATGGTTTTCGATAGAATATGAAAATTGAGTATGACAGTTGTTGAACTAAAAATAATCTAGCGAGCAATACTAAAATGAAGACTAACTTCTTAGACATTCCTCGCGGTGGTGGCAGCCCTGGCGGCATCATGAAGCAGCGAGTGTCGGCGGCGGCGACTACAACATCTCAGAGTGGTAGGTGGCGGTTGTGGCCCTATGGAAGTGTGTATGCGGAGATGTTCCTCATAGCCAGCATCTGGATCCGCTCCATTCAGTCCTGCCAAACCTTCTCGGCCGTGACTCATGACAAAGGCGGCGACCTACCTATGGATGTCACCCTTCTTCCGCCATGGTGAGCTGAAGGAAATATGCCCTAGAGGCAATAATAAAGTTGTTATTTATATTTCCTTATATCATGATAAATGTTTATTATTCATGCTAGAATTGTATTAACCGGAAACTTAGTACATGTGTGAATACATAGACAAACTGAGTGTCACTAGTATGCCTCTACTTGACTAGCTTGTTAATCAAAGATGGTTAAATTCCTAACCATAAACATGCGTTGTCATTTGATTAACGAGATCACATCATTAGAGAATGATGTGATTGACTTGACCCATCCGTTAGCTTAGCACGATGATCGTTTAGTTTGTTGCTATTGCTTTCTCCATAACTTATACATGTTACTATGACTATAAGATTATGCAACTCCCGAATACCGGAGGAACACTTAGTGTGCTATCAAACATCACAACGTAACTGGGTGACTATAAAAATGATCTACAGGTGTCTCCGATGGTGTTTGTTGAGTTGGCATAGATCAAGTTTAGGATTTGTCACTCCGTGTATCAGAGAGGTATCTCTGGGCTCTCTCGGTAATGCACATCATTATAAGCCTTGCAAGCAATGTGACTAATGAGTTAGTTGCGGGATGTTGCATTATGAAACGAGTAAAGAGACTTGCCGGTAACGAGATTGAACTAGTTATGATGATACCGACGATCGTATCTCGGGAAAGTAACATACCAATGACAAAGGGAACAACATATATTGTTATGCGGTTTGACCGATAAAGATCTTCGTAGAATATGTAGGAGCCAATATGAGCATCCAGGTTCCACTATTGGTTATTGACCGGAGATGTGTCTCGGTCATGTCTACATGGTTCTCAAACCCATAGGGTCCGCACGCTTAACTTTCGATGATGATTTGTATTATGAGTTATGTGATTTGATGTACCGAAGGTTGTTCGGAGTCCCGGATTAGATCACGGACATGACGAGGAGTCTCAAAATGGTCGAGATGTAAAGGTCGATATATTGGAAGGTTATATTCGGACATTGGAAATGTTCCGAGTGATTCGGGTATTTTTCGGAGTACCGGAGAGTTACGGGAATTCGCCGGGGGAAGTAGTGGGCCTTAATGGGACATACGGGAAAGGAGAGAAGGGCCTCAAGGGGTGGCCACGCGCACCCCCATGGCAAGTCCGAATTGGACTAGGGAGGGGGCGGCGCCCCTCTCTTTCCTTCCTCCTCTCCTACTCCTTCTTGTGCGTTTTTTTCTTAAAAAAGTTCAAAAAAAACTGCAGCGCGCATGCGTCGGTCGGCCGAACACTTTAGCCTGTGCGTTTTTCTCTTTTCTATTTTTATATGTCTATGTTTAATCCCACATTGCCTAGTCTTTGACCCCTAAACCTCTTTTCGACATATAAATATAGATCCATGGAGCCTCCAAAAATCATCTGATTCGGGTTAAATCAATATTTTGGTTTGACCATATTCATTAAAGAAAAATATTTTTCTCCTCTCCGGCGGGACTTCTGGAAATTGTCTCCTCTCTCCGAAGTCGTCTTTTCTCTACCTTATAAAGGTATTTTTCTTCATTTTTCTTTTTATACTTCCGTAGTTTATTATTTCTAGACTAGTACGGCAGGATAATTAGATTATCAATTAGCCTCTGTATTTATACATTAGACCTAGAATTCTTTTAGTCGTAGCTATTTTTCTTTCGTAAAACGGCTTGGCCCTGATTTTTCGAATAGCGATACCTTTTTACCCGTTCATCCAAATTGGATGAACCAGCGCCTATAGTTTTGTCTTGTTTTCACCTATCCAGTGAACCTGTCACATCAACTTTTTGAAATTTTCAAATTTCGAAATTTGTTCAAATTCATATTCAAACTTATTTTGATCATAACTTGAGTTTCGTAACTCTGATTTAATTGATTCTTTTTCCTAATTGAAGCTCTTGACCTAAACTTTCTGATGAGACCAAATTCACCCAATTTTGGTACTATTAGAAATTGTTTTCTGTTGCAAGAGTTATTTGCCTATTTTTGAAGTTTTCCGATATCTTTTCTTCGATTCTTTTGTGTGAGTGCTTATGTATGAAATTGCTTGCTTACGATAGATTGATCGGAGTGTGACGAGTAGAACTATCAGGAGTTATAAGTGTGAATCATCTTCATCAACAGTACAAGGCAAGTTCACACTTTGATCATACCCCATTATTACCCAGTTTTTATGCATTAATTTCAACCCTCAAACATTGCATGAGTAGGATTGATAACATGTGGGCATTTGGGAAGTAGTTGATGAGGTAGGAACC